TGCACAGGTCTGAAGACAAGAATACCATGTGCTTAACAAATGGGGGTCACCGGAAATCGAACACAAGACCTCTCGGTCACAGAAGACTCTGATACCATGTCAAGAACCAGTTGCTCCCAATAACTCGAATTGTTGGGAGAGGTTCAATCGTGGATCATATACCACAACACTAACAATGGGAGTCATTGGGATTCGATCAGAAGACCTCTCAGTCACAGAAGGCTCTGATACCATGTCAAGAACCAGTTGATCTCAATAACTCGAGTTGTTGAGAGAGGTTGAATCGTGGATTTACTAACAAGGGCAACAATGTGAAGGAAGAAGAGTTGTAACTTCTTCTTTTGGATCAATATAAAGATTATCTTTTGTAAAAAAAAAAAAAAAGAGTTGTATAAAAAGAGTATAATTGATGAAATGAAAGGCTAGCAGCCGGAGAAGTTTTGGATTAACTTTCCTTACCTAATGATGATCGTGATTCTGATATATTTCAACCCACTTTTCCAACCCTTCTTTAGCTATGATACTTGACGACGGTGCTGGATTGGAATTTGACTTTTTTGTTAAAAGGTCCGGTGTTAACATCATTGATTATACATTCACGTCTCACATACTTATAGTCATCTAATTTTCAATCAAACTATTAATGTAGAAATACGTGTTTATACACTCATCATATTTCATAACCAAGCGATTAGGGAGATTTTTCTAGAAATAGCACTGTCCAAAATAAATATCAAAAGTGGCGTTGGCACAAATGGTTTAGTTGTTTATTGTGTGCAAGAAGTCTTGGGTTTGAATCCCCACGATCCCATTTAAATTTTATTTATTTTTTAGAGATTAAAAAAAGCAACATGTTGTGGGAGTGGTGGATCGAACCGAGATAGTAAATGAGGGTTGCTAATTGTCGCCCTAATTTTATATAATCGCCCTAATTTAGGAACTAAAGTTCCTTTTTTACCCTTTTATATTTTATTGCTTGTTTGGAGCGGTTTCGGCAACGGTTTTTGTCGCCACTATTGGTATCTTCTGGTGTGGTGACGTGAAGAATATTGGCAGCGGTGGTAGGTTTTGCGACAGTTTTGGAACCCCAGCTACTGATCATTGTTTCTAAACGATAAGGCTGATATATCATTAAAATTTCCTTGTACATACCATAAATAGTCTGCATTACACATTATTCATGCAACAAATTCATAGAACCCCTGTACGTATGGAATCGAACAAATAGAAACTCAACAACCAATAACTCATAATCAAAGGAATAATGGCAAGCCTGAACAAAGTTGAAGTGTCAATAAGGTCCATAATATTAAACTTCCCTTGTTCTTAATCCCAATTTATCCTGTTACAAAGCCAACAAAAACAAATAGAAGTCAACTCAATAAATAGAACGGAGAAGAGAAATAAACGCAGAACAAGAGAAAGGATTTAAGGGAATAACAAAGAACCCTACAAACATTGGACAAGAAGAGACCACCTGTGTCGGAATTCATTAGTATAGGAACTCAGAAAGAAATCCAAATACTGGGATATCCCAATCAACATCATGCAAATTGCCACTGAAAGAAAACACTAGGCATTCATGAGGGACCTGTCTTCTACAGCATTTTCTACATAAAAAATAGCAAATTTTGTACCATCAATTAGACAGAAAGCTTATGCGCATTATGTAAAACCTACAAATTTTATTAGAAGAAAATTAGAGCAAAATATCACCTTAGGAAAAAGAAAGTGCAAACTAATCAACAAAGTCCATACAATATCATTCAATTTACTGCATACACCCATCCTTCTATATACGTGTGGAGACTACAGAGATGGTCATCCTAAGGCTTGTAGTTTCCCTTAATCACTTTATCCAATCACTACAAGCTCCTTCGTTACTTTCACATATAAACTATATATATAAACCACATCCAGCTTACTGACTCATCATATCATCAATAACTCAAAAACATATTCACTAAATTGTACCATAACTAACCAAAATCCTCTTCTATGAATTCGATTAATTAACTCAGAGATGCAGTTGTGTATGTTATGACTTACCTTCCCATGATTCTCTGATCCATGCAGCTTCTGAAAAATATGTTGATTATTAGATTATCTTATTGCAGAGTATGTGCCTTTTCCTTCACAACCACCAAGAACAAAAGCAATATACACAATTAGTATGCAAGTAGAAATCAGAAACAGAGGGAACTTCTCTAACTTAAATCAATGATAAGCAGAGTGAAGCACGTCATATCGACTCGGAGTTGGAAGACTGTTAACACAAACCATGCAAGAAGTTGAGAAAAACCTCTACCTTTGGGGCTTCTCTGGTAGTAGGGCTAGAATGCTAAGTATGAGAATGGAGAGAGCCAACATTGCAGCAACCGAAGCCCACATCCAAATCCATATATTCCAGCTCCGAGCACACCATTTGGAGAGAGAACTACTATTTGGAGCAGGGAAAACAAAAGCAGTGAAGGCTGGAAATGATACGGCTGTTTGAAAGATCGATAGCGCAGTGGGAAAACTAGCAAGCTTACTTAGAGTTGTTCTGTTAGCTTCACCAACAATAACATTATAAGTGTTTCCCCAAGTCAACTTTACAAATTCGTCATACCTAAACAGAGGACATCAGAGAAGCAGAGAGCATCTCTTTACCTGGGCTCAAACAAAGTAAGGGTTCTATAGTTTCTTTAAACCCAGCTCATACAACTTTCAGCACGACAGCTCTCTCCAATTTCCTTTTCGGAAAGCAGAAAGTAGTACTCTATATTCACATTGGCTTACAAAACTATACAATTTCTACAATGGCATCAAGAAGGAAAATATGTTGCAAGGTACCTGTGTATTGAGCATTGTTTATCACAGGAGTTGTTAAGTATAGCCATAACCTAGCCCTCCTTTCCCGATCCAGATTGGATATCACTCCCTGATTAACACCAGATGTGCCACCAAGAACAGGAAGTAAAGCAAATCACGAGTCCAAATATGAATAGGAAATTCCATGGATAGTAATCACAAAAATAGAAAGTTCAAACCCAAAATATCTTTAAGTTTGGAGTTTAGAGATCATATCAATCTAAACATCATGAAAATGGCCTATTTTTAGTCCCTGAGTTGTGAGCCTAGAAGTCTACCTGCAGAATGAGGATACCAACAGTGACCTGACCATAGAATTACAAAACCTGCTGAAAATTAAAAAACTTGCAGCAGAACACATTTAACCATACATAAGAAAGCAGAGGAGACTGATGAGCAGATAGTTCTGAGCATTAAGGGCTTTGTTTCATTACTTACATTTCGATCAAAGCACTTCTACAAGAGAGCCTATTCTTCTGCATCTGTAGTCTCTTCACCGCATTCACTTTGAGACGTTCTTAAGTATCTTTCCTGAGTTCTTCTGCAAATTTCACCACATCTTCACCACCGTCTTTTCAAGAGAGAAATGGTCAATTGTGTCTCTTCCACAGCTAGCAGGTTCTTATTTAATCCTAGAACATGATCCAATGCTAACGCGAGTTTGCTTAAACAAATCCATGGAGACATTCCTATGTGGGCACCAAAACAAAGAGACAAAAAAAAAATACACAATGAAACTCGTGAACATTATGCTCATCAGTCCCAAACTCAAGACCACAGAGTAATATAGCTCAATAAGAAAGTACAATTAAGCTCTTCCTCATCCAACCAAGAGGAATATGCTCGATTTTAATACCAACCCCTAGGCCCTAACTGATACGAATCCAATAATCCAAACATCACAAATACTAAACCCTAATTACCTTTTACAAGGCCCGATTTCGATTGACCTAGCTCCACATGTCGATTATCCTCAGTGCATACAGCAAGTAGAAAGTTCATCCCGTCCTAACAACTAAAGTTTCAATTGCTTGCCAACTCTGCCTCCTTTATGCTAGAAGGCGACTGCACAACGGAGAGAGAGAGAGAGAGAGAGTTCACCATAAACCTATGTCAATTAGAGAGACCGAGAGAGAAAGAAATCAAATACGCGAGTTCTTACCAGCTGATGAGAATAGACAGATGTGAAACCAGGAAGACGGGAAATTGTGGCTGACCCAGGATTCCACGAAGCAGGTGGGACTATGGGAGAATAAGATTTGGACGAAGATACTGAGTTCGTTCGTCTAAGTAGCAGGATACATAGGGACAACGGTCGAAGCAAAGCTCGCAAAGGTCTAAGTTTCAAGCCGAAGAGAAGGAATCAGGGGATTGGGGGTCTCGTGAGCGATGATGTTAGGGATTAGGGTTTCGAACTGCTGGAGAGGGCAGAAAAGAAATCGATTTTGGAAAGACAGGGAAAGGAATCGGGAAAGCTATTTTGCTGTAAAAATGGGAGAAATCAATTTTCAACGATGGGCGAAATTAATTGGGCCGATGAAAGAATAGGATTTTGGGGATTTTTTTCATGAAGCGGTTCCCTTAAACGCAGCTTAGATCGTTGTATGGAGTGAAACTAGCAAAAACCGGCAGCGGTTCACACAACCGCTGGATTATGACTGCTGTTGTAGGCCATTTTGTTGTAGTAATTCTCTCTCGCCTATTAGGCTATTAGCAAAATAGATTCAGTAGCACTAAGACCTCAACAGCTTCACCATCCCTTCGGATTAAACAATCAGCAGTCTGGGTAAGGCCAGAGTACTTAGTAAAAGATGGGACATGGGAATTTAATTGTTAGTGAAGTGGTGATGAACCAACTACCCAATAATGGCGGTTCAATGGTTTTTAAGCCTAAAGCTCCACCGGCGGTGGCCGGATTGAAAGAGAGCGATGTGGTGGCGGAATGGGATCGATGGCGTTAGGGGTGGCTCGCGATTGATTAACATTTCAGAACCCTAATCTTATTAATTTTAGTGTTCGACTTTTCTGATTGAGTTGTGCACATTTGAAACTTGAAACGATTGCGGGGAGAAGGAGTGCCGGTGGTGAATTCGAGAGAAGGCTGTAAAGGACGGCGGGGGAGATGAACGGCGGCAAATTGCAAGAGGATGGCGGCGGAGGGTAATTGGAGAGGTGGTGGTCGACGGTAATACATATTTTAGGATTTGTTTATTTATTATTAAGTTTGATTAATAAAAGGATAATTTAGTAATTGTAAATTTTAAGTTAGGGCAATAATAGTAAAATTAGGGCGACGTTTAGTCATCCAGTAAATAAATAGTTTACTAAATTTAGCACAACATCTACAACTCTTCTCTTGATACAATAATATATTGACAAAGTTCTACTCATTGAAAGCTAAAAATCCTCAATAACTTTAAACAACCATAACTTTATGCTCCAAAATCCGAACGTCATGGACTTTTCTTTCATTTCGCATATTTTTTTAAGGAATACAATTTTTACTAGGAATGAATTTTCAAAACAGGAACTATATTTGGATATACAAGATTTTGGAAATAGCTTACCTTCCCTTTTCACCAATCCACGTACATTTCGAAATTATGTCTATGATAAAAGTTGTAGTTCTTAAAAAGTTATGCGAAATGAAAAAAAATTTCATGCCGTTTGGGTTTTGGAGCACAAAGTTATGGTTGTCCAAAGTTTGACGAAATCGAAAAAATGCTCGTTCGGGGTAGCAAACGACATTTTTCCGGGACGACGGTTTGCGGCCTGCAAGATCTCGAAAAGTTATGCGGAATAAAAAAAAAACACGACGATCGGATACCCGAACACAAAGATAGGTTCGTTTGAAGTTTCGACCTAGGTTAGGATTTTTCAAAAAAAATAAAAAGACCAACAACCGCATGGTGAGGGTGCGGTTTGCAACCAAACCGCATGGTGGGGGTGCGGTTTGCAAAACCGCCCCCTACCCGTGCAGTTTTCATCGAAAAACGCGCCCCGGGGTGGCGGTTTTCGCCTAAGCCGTTGGTTTGGGTGGCGTTTTTAGGGAGAAGGGTGTTATTTTTGAATTTTTTTCGGGTTGGGTGCTATTTTTGGATTTTTTTTTAAACAGTGCTATTTATGGCAAAATCCCTCGATTAGGAGGGTGAGGATAGACATGAGGAGCTATATAAAATTACATAGCATATGAATGAATCTAGAAATAGAACATGAAATAAAATAGGTGTTTCCACCACCAAAGGTAAGATATTCTGACGGTAAAGTTGTTGCAACAGTGAAGGCTTGGGAGTTGCAGATTCCAGGTTCGAATCCAAGCGAGGTCCGTTGGTGTTCCCGGAGGTATAAGGCCGCTGGGGGCGAAGGCCCGTTGGCGTCGAATTTGATTGCAGGTGGCCCCCAGGTTTAGTAGGACCCGCTGTCACAAAGTGTCACGTGGGGCTCAGGTTCATGGGTAATAAAAAAAATGTAGGTGTTTGCACCTTTCTATTTATTTCATATTAAAAAAATAAGGGCTAAATTACACGTTTGGTCACTCAAATTATACAAATCTTTCACGTTTGCCACCCGAATTACTTTTCTTTCTTATTCGCCACTAACTTTACGAATCGTTTCACGGTTGGTCACCTGCCGTTACACTCCGTTAAGTTTGTCCTACGCGGCAGTCAACTATAAAGTTTGACTGTTAACTAGATGACGTGGAAATTAAAAAAAATAAAAAATAAATTTTTCTTTCCCCTCATCATTGCACTTATTTTGTCTATATAATTTATCATATTAATAATTTAATAAAATTTGATAGATTACAAAAATGGACACCCAGAGGCGAAGACCATGAGCCATGAGTGGACATCGGCGCCCCAGTTATTGGGAACGAGATTGAAGTCGGAAAACCGAGGCTTCCCCTTCAGCGTGACGCTCCTAATCCTCGGGAACCGGCGGGCGACGATCTCCGGCGAGACGGAGTAGCAGTTCCCTATGAATACGTGGCGGCGTACCAATCAGGTAAATTCACCAAGAACTCTGCTAACATAGATCGATATCGGTCCTGAATTATCGAAACTGAAAGAATTCACCAAGAACTTCCCACCAGAGCTCAAAGGCTTAGCCATGAACAATAGTGAAGCTATACGTGCGGCTCACAACAGTTTTGCACGACCCGATCGAGCCTTTCATCTCTGATGAACAGAAAATCGCTGGAAAAGACGATGATGTGTACCACTTCATCAGTCTCGGCCAGTGCTCCAACGACCTTGATTGGCTCAAACTGGTTGGACCGGTGATACAGGAACGCATCGAGAAGTGTGCCTAAGGGTGGCTATATATCTGTTTTCGTTGTCGTTAAACAAGTTTCGGGTTTACATTAGCAGTTTTTGCCTTTATGTTGATATAAACTGAAAACATAGTCAGAAACCATAATTAATATGCCTGGGATCCAAAAATATTGATTTAAATCACTATAAACATGAAGGGAGAACTAAATTTTAGCCGTTCTCGCGCCTGATGAGATGACTTGCCTGCTATACTTTTTTTTTTTATAATGGTGAAATTTTATTAGGCAAAGGAAATAACCTGTACACAGAAACACGGAAATGATCCTGGGGAGAAAGTAAAAGAAAAAACTAAAACAAAACCGGGAAGAGGAAAGAAGACAGAAACTCAGATACGAGGCCAATACAGACTACCAGAAAGAAACAGAGACACCCCATCAGGGGCAGGCCCCCATCGCGAACCAAACAAATCCTCCCCACCTAGCCTTGAAGTATACCTCCTAACATCTCTGCCTGTGGAACCAACCTCAGCTCTCCCACCATGCCAAACAGCACCGACAACAGATACAACACGCAGCAAACAGAACCCGACCTTCAACCCCAAAAATCCGAGCACTCCCCTGGAACAGCGGAGGAAGTACGCGGGACACCAATATCCACAGACTCCTCCTGATCGATTATTACACTAATCCCTTTTCAATCAGCCATCTCCTTCCCTCTGCTTTCTGCACCTTTCCATTAACCACAATCCATTCGATTGCCTTCTTCGCTGCCTTTTTTCCCACCACCGTCGAGCATGTTGCTTTGTCTTCGAACGTCCTCTGATTCCTCTCGAGCCACACAGCCCACCAAATGGAATGTAGAACACATCCATCAAACCACTTCTCAATTTCTTCTCCGTCTGCAGTAGCCCAATTTGCTAAAACTTGGACGATCTCACCATTCCATCTCGGTGTCCTACTCCTTCTGCCATACATCATAGTCCAAATTCTCCTAACGAACTCACATTCCACAAGCATGTGCTGTACAGTCTCCTCATCCTTCGTGCATAATACACATTTGTTCGCCAAGAACAAGCCTCTTTTCTTTAAATTGTCGAGAGTTGGCACTCTATTATGGTAAACAAGCCAAATTAAGAAGCAGATTTTACTCGGAATCCACGAGATCCACACATTCTCCGCAGGGAAATCTTCGATCTCTCTTGAGTGAATGCCAGCCAACTCCCTATATAAAGATCTCACCGAGAACTTTGAGTTTGCCTCTTTTGAATCTTTTGCCTGCTATACTTTGTATGTCTGTTTTTAATTGTTTTTGTGGGTGGAGTTCTTTTGGCCATTTTGTACACTAATCTCATCCATCGATGCCACCTAGCTAGGTATGCCAAGAGCGAGCGAGATAAGGTTCAATCTCTTGGCGGTGATCAAGAACAGGAAAGAGGGAAAGGATCCTGGCAGCTTCTCAAACTGAAGGGGCCAGCGGGGGCAGCTACGAATCGATGAGCAAGTCATTGTCCGAGGTGAACAGTGGGATCGAGACCACAACTGCAAAGATCCTGATGGAGGAAGAGAAGTTCAAGAAGTGGAGAACCGAGAACATTAGGAGGAAGCACAATTACATCCCGTTCCTGTTCAACTTCCTCAAGATCCTTGCTGAGAAGAAGCAGCTCAAGCCTCTGGTCGAGAAAGCTAAGCAAAAGGCTGGCAACGCCAAGTGAAACAAATAAAGACCAATGGTAAACTCGATCTATCGGACGACTTCAATCCAGTCTGTACCTTGTTTTTGTGTCATTTGAAAACTTCTTTTGTTTAAGATTTCTATCTATGGCTTTTTGGATGCTCTAGAATGCATATCTTCAAGCAGAGTTACCGAGTTCAGATGAGGCAGTGGAGATCTCGCTCCTGATTCTTGTAACTGGTACGCCGCCGATAGCTGGTCCCGCCGCCACGTATTCATCAGGAACTGCTACTCCGTCTCGCCGGAGATCGTCGCCCGCCGGTTCCCGAGGATCAGGAGCGTCACGCTGAAGGGGAAGCCTCGGTTTTCCGACTTCAATCTCGTCCCCGACGCCGAAGTCCACTCATGGCTCCTGGTCTTCGCCTCGGGTGTCCATTTTTATAATTTATTAAATTATTAATATGATAAATTATATAGACAAAATAAGTGCAACGATGAGGTGGAAAGAAAAAATTATTATTTTTTATTTTTTAAAATTTCCACGTCATTTAGTTAACGGTCAAACTTTATAGTTGACTGCCACGTAGGACAAACTTAATGGAGTGTAACGGCAGGTGACCAACCGTGAAACGATTCGTAAAGCTAGTGGCGAATAAGAAAGAAAAGTAATTCGGGTGGCAAACGTGAAAGATTTGTATAATTTGAGTGACCAAACGTGTAATTTAGCCAAAAAATAAGAATAGATTATCCATTTTCTTTAGGACTTTCAATACTATTAGTTACATTTTTGCCATCCTAGGTGAGCATAGTCTTCATTCGCTATGTGAAGGACAATGTCCTAGCTCTCCAAGTACCTCTTTGCTCATTCTTGATGAAGCAATTAGTTTGCATAGCGTATTTTGTGGAAAGGATTTTGTCTCACAAACCAATTAGTACCAATATTTGAGTTGTTGGAATAGCAATGTTCATGTATGATGATTATCCTAGCTCTCCAAATTCCTCTTTTGTTGACTCGAGATGGCATGGCGTATTTTGGGAAAGAATTTTGTGTCATAATTCACAAACCAACTTATCCCAATAATTTGAGTTATTAGTAGAGCAAATTCCTCTTTTGCTCGTTCTTGATGAAGCAATCAAATTGCATAGCTTATTTTGTGGAAAGAATTTTGTGTCATAAACCAATTAGTCTCAATAATTTTGAAACTAGCATAGGCCCGTCATACCATATATTTTATAAGACAACGATTAATATTGAGGGCAATGAGGATTTGAACACATGATTTTAAGGACAAACAATTTCTAATATTATTTCATAAATCCCAATAATTCATTGTTGAAAAATGTTCATATATGAATTTTAACCATATTCTTTTGCTAATCTTAATCAAAATTATGTAAATAGAAACCCGTAGAAACTAGTAAGTACTTTACCCTGAAATTAAAATCTTTACAAATGTCTAATGATGTACACCTCATTAATGAGTAATCACTAACTATAAAGTTACATAAAGCACGCCTATATATGTTCTCCTTTTGACAAGTAATCGAAATGAAGAGATCAATAACAATGTGAATCATGGCTTGTCTAATGATTCAAACATCAATCCCCAAAAAAACGAATAATACATGAGATATATGAATGATGGGAGTCGAAGAATATTAAAGTGAGAGGTAGAATTCGAGTTGATATCAATTAACCGGCCATAAGGGCAAAAAAGGCGCGTTTGAAATAAGCACTTCCTCCATTGCTTTAAACTTTTCTTTATTGATGGAACGACTTACCACTAATGTAGGTTGATTTTTGCTAGATGTCATGCAAGTGAGAAAACACTTTTTTTTTTTTTTTTTAGAAGCAAATGAGTGCTCTCACCTCTCTCCTCGCCGCCTGGCTAAATGCTATCTTGCAAGCCAGTAAAACAGCCGGCGACGCCTTTCTTCAGGTCGTGGTGGCGTTATTCACAACATCCTTAGCCAATCATGAGAAGCAGGGGAATTGGGGGGCTGGTCTCCGCAAGACAACGACGACTACCTCGGTGGCGCTTCCTGACCAGAGGCGGCCGAGGGAAACCGTCTTTGTTGTGCCGGGTAAGCGAAAAAGAAAGCAAAACCCAGTTCACACCCCCGTCAAGGAATCCACCCCACCCAAGCGTATGCGTCAATCAAGATGGGTAATGTGGCGGTTCTACTTACCGTCGTCGGAGGAGGAAGATTTGAAGATACTTAATGATCGGAGTGTAGCGACTCACCATCAAGAGCAAATGGCTCTGTCCAGGGCCCCGACATCAGATGCTGAAACCTCTTGCCTTGAACTTAGATCCCGAAATGGGGCGAGTTACGAGTTCAGATCCCGAAATGGGGCGAGTTCGATACAAGTGGGGGGTGAGACTCAAGCGTCGATGGATAGTACCAGATGTAGACAGTTGCCGCTGATTTCAGCTTCTATTATCCCCTTCCTTGAGCTTAGATCCCGAAATGGGGCGAGCTCCGAACTCAGACCCTGCTATGGGCAGAGTTCGTTGCAACGGGGTAGTGATTTTCAGGCGGTGAAGAAAAGTTGCCGCCGCAGCCAGTCGCCGGAGATGTGGACCTCCATCTTTCCTCAGCTGCTCCCCTGCCCGAAACGTGCGTTGCCAGGGAAGGTGGGGGGATCGCGATCGGTTAGCGAATCTGCGATTTGTTCGGGGATGGATAACGGCCAGGGGATATTGGGGATAAACCATATCTCTACGCGGTTTGGCAACCGTTTCTTGAAATTGAAATTTTACAGTTTCCCCTCCCCCATAGAACTCTTGCAGCAGGAGAAGTTTCCAACTTCCCTCGCCTATTTAACAAGGCCTTTCAACCCGACCCCTCTTCATCTTAGCCATCGAGAGGAGGAACAGGGTTCTAGTAGCTGCAAAAAAGAAGTCTATTCGGGTAAGTGGAAAGTCCTGGTTTCGGAAATCTTACTCTGTTTTTGGATGGATGATAGTCCTAACAGAAGTTTCTGCTTTACATTCTCGATCTACCCGTGGGCTCCTAGTAGCAAGGCTTCGGCCATTATTATTTTCCATGAGCTGAACTCCATTTCTATGTTGCAGCCGGCCACCATGGATCACATTGCTAGGGACCAGGTAGTGGAATTTTCGCTATCGGAGGTTCAGTCCGACAGGATACGCCAGTCAAGAATGCTGCTCGGCCGCCTCTTCACTGAGGATCGGCTGACCACAACTGAACTTCGCGAGGCGATTAATAAGCCTTGGCAAGGCCAGGGGCGAATCAAGGTGAGGGAGGCGGCACATGGCTTGTACGAGTTCGTTCTCCCGACCGAAGCGGCGAAAAATTGGGTGCTCCAGCGCACACCATGGGTTATCAATGACAAAATCCTCCACCTGCGTGCCTGGACACCGAATATAACGGTTCGAACTTTCGAGGAGATGGCAACTTCCCCATTTCGTGTCCAAATTTGGGATGTGCAAGAAGAATGTTGCACTCAACAATTTGGACGAAAAGTGGCGATCTCCACCCTGGGCCGGGTTCTCGAAGCAGGCGTGTTTTCCTGCACAGACACAAACAGGACCTTCATCAAGGTCAAAGCACTCATCGACTTCTCTAAGCCGCTGAGGTCCCAAATCTGGGCAACTAATGAGGAAACGGGGTCTTTTTGGATCCGGTTCAAGTACGAACACTTACCCAGCTTCTGCTACAACTGCGGGCGAGTGGGCCATTTTCGCCAAAATTGTAGATATGACCCGCCAGCACGAAAAGAACGTTTTGGTCCGCACATGACGACCAAAAAAATGGGCAGGAAAATGTTTGAAGAAGATGATCATCACCAGCGGTTTTCTGGGCAGCCGAACTCGGTCTGGATCAATGCCAATGCCCGCCAAACTTCTGGACTAGTTGGCCGAGAGAATCGTCGCACAGGAACAATGCCGCGACAGGAGCCTCAACCCACCAAGAATCGGATGGTGGAAAGCAGCCCATTGTGGATGGGTTCTTCTGAGAACCCGTTCGCTACTACTGAGCATGCTGAGCACCGGTCGAAACTGGGGAAAAGCCCCCTTCGCTTCCCCATCCCGAAAGCCCCTAAAATCCCCCTTGCAAGACCGAATCGTCGGGGGAAAGGGAAATTGACTTCGGGGGGTAGCCCGATGGAGGTCGATGAACGGCAAGATGTGATCCCAGCGCCGCGACGACGTGGCAGGCAGGGCCGACCCTCGCGGTCCGAGCAGACGGGGGGAGCGGCTGCTGCTGTGAAGTCCTGGGTGAACGACGAGGCCCCCTGTGAGGTGTAGCCATCTTCGGGGCTCTCAATCAATTCGGATTTCAATGAAGGGACCCGCCGGCGACGCCTGCTTCTTGAGGAAGAGTCAGAGGATGATTTTTATGTTCAACCTATTTTACAAGAAACAGGCCGCCCAGCTCCGCAGCACCCGGCTCCGCTGGTTCAGACGGCGGTGAAATCCCTCAGTCGACGGAAGACCTCCAAGATGGAGCTGCAAGGAAAGGTTAGGCTGGGCCAGAATCAGCAGGGGCCCCATCGAAAAAGTGAGCTGCAGAGTGGGCCGTCCCACAAACCTTTGGCGGCCCGCGCGGATCTTAGTGCAATTCGGTCAAAGGGAAAAGCTGCGGTAATGGGCTGTACTAGCAAGCCCAATAACATGTCCAAGGAGGAACCCAATGAACAGAAACGAAATAAAAAAACAGGGAAGGCTAAGGGAGTTGCGGTGGGGCTACCACCGTCACCCAGGCCCATTTCTTCTCTGCCCATAATCACTGAGGATCCCATGAATTCGTCGGACACCATTTCAGACGAAGAGGGACATTCCTTCGAACTTCGCCGGCGTGTTCCCTCGGCGTCGGGGGTGCTAAAGCGCCTGGTGAAATCCTCTCGGGTCAGTCAAGTGGTTCGGGCCTTTGAGCGTGGGCTGGCGATGCAGGAGAATGAAGACGAAGGCGATTTGGGTTCATCCTTATCGGGTCCTAACCCAAGCATGCGGGAAGCGGTGATCGACATGGCTAATAATACCCCCCTGGATGAGTATGGAACTAACCTAC